CTTTACAAAAGTTGCATTCTCAGTCCAAGTACTGGCTCAAATCCCCCTCTCTTCTAAATTTGTATTCATTCAGAGATATATATATATATATATATCTTGCAATTAGAAGAACAAATAAAATTTCTCCACCAAAGAACAAAAGAACTGGAGAACCAATTAGCAAAACTTCCACTAAAAGGAAAAGATGCTAATGAACCAACAGCAGATAAAGAAGAACAAATCTCTACTTTATCAGCTAGTGTTCCAACAAATCCCAAAGATCCAAATACCCTACTTAGCGTACTGTGTTCAATCACCTTCAAAAATGGAGAAATGAAAGAATTCTTACGAATGATACAGGAGCATCCAAATCTCACATCCTTGAAACAGAAATCCCGAGTTCTCAAATATCAACAATGAAAGCTGTTTATGGAACTCAAATGAATGGAACTCAACTCAAATATGATAAATGTCTAAAGGATGCAAAAATTTCTTTCTGGGACTGGGGATCAGGAAAATTTGGAGAAAAGTACATCTTACCCCAAGTAATTGTACATAATATCCGAAATAATTATCCCTTCATAATTGGCTTAAACTTTATCACTCACTTCCAGGGCCAAATGACCATTTCTTCTGATGGAGTACAATTTGCAAAACGAACCAGTTACACTCCAGCGGATAGATATGTCATGAATCTTCCAAACCCAGAAGAAAAAGCACCTCAAAAAATCCAAAATAAATTAAATAAGTATTTTGAATATAATAGTAATTATGTGAGTGATGAAAAGTTTTTTGATGATTTATTAGAATCTGATCATACACCAAGTCCCTCAGAAGAGACTTCGAAAATATTTGAGGATTCTATAGATTATCAGTTTTTTGATAACTTAATTAATGAGGAAGAAGTAGTGCATGTAAATATAGAAAAAACTCTTTCAAACTTTCAGAAAGAGGAAAACAAAAGAAAAAATAAAAATTACAAAAAATTGAACTTGGATGAGTTAATCAGAATAGCTGATGAAACTCAAGTCTTAGGAGAAGACCCAATTAAATATTGGGATCGAAAAAAATGTACAGCAAATTTAGAAATAATAAATCCTAAACTTAGAATTACTTGTGGCAAGATGGATCACAGTCCACTTGACAGACAAGAATTTGAGGTTCAAATAAAAGAACTTTTAGCCTTAGGAGTCATAAAGCATTCCAGTTCTAGACGTTCCTCTGCAGCATTCATGGTAATAAATCATGCAGAAATCAAACGAGGAAAGGCTAGGATGGTTATAAATTATAAAAGGCTAAATGATAACACTTATGAAGATGCATATAGAATACCAGATAAAGACCAACTAATCAACTGAATTCAAAATTCAAAAATTTTTAGCAAGTTTGATTGTAAGTCTGGTTTCTGGCAGATCAAAATGGAAAAAGAATCCATTCCATGGACCGCCTTCACTTGTCCC